CCCGGGCCTGCAGTAGCACAACTAGACAAAGCACATGTTACAAAAATGTAACATGGAAGAAAGTAAATGTACTGCTTGTGCAAAACCGTGGCTCGGACTTGCCCTTGCCCTTGCCCTTGCCCTTGCCCTTGCGGCCCTTCGGCCCACCGCCGTAGAAGGACTCGTAGCTGGACCGCTGCCACATCCAGGCCTCAGCATCGCAGTGGGTGGCGTGACGCAAGCATTTTGCATCACAAACATGCAACTGACTCAAGCGACGTCAAGCTGCATCATCGTCGGAGTCCTGGCTCATATCGGGCCAGCCATCGCGGTAATCCAGCTTGTAGTCCAAGGGCACGGTCTCTTCGGTCCTTTGGCAAGAATCAAACTAGTAGTAGTTGTAGTCGTAGTAGTTAGTAGCTAGTGGTTCGTAGTTAGTCGTTAGTAGTAGTAGTAGTAGTAGTAGTAGTAGTAGTAGCAGTAGTAGTAGTAGTAGTAGTAGTAGTAGTGGTAGTGGTAGCGGTAGTGGTACTGGTAGTGGTAGTGGTAGTGGTAGTGGTAGTAGTAGTAGTAGTAGTAGTAGTAGTAATAATAATAGTAGCAGAAACAGTGGAAATAATAGAAAAATACAAGCAGCAGGCCTCAACTTCATGGTCTTCTCGTTGTAGAAGCTGAAGATGTTGCGGAATTGCCGCGATCTCTCGTCGCTTCGGTCCGTGCCTCAGAAAACACCACAAAGCCACATGTTCGAAACTGGTTTGCGATCATGCATGCCGACAAGGAACCAATGATGGCGGAGAGCAGGTGTGGCACATGCTCGTGGCAGTAATCGGACCCATTGGGCGAAGACTGCCCGAGCCCATGGAAGTCCTCGGGTCAATCAGGCTTTGCAACATGAGTACTGTGACTGGCGTGGGCAAAAAATTGGACACGTAAACAAACAGCATGCCCGAAGACTGCTGGCAAGATGCGGACCACAGCTGCCGGTCCTTCCAGCCCAGCTTATAGAAGCACCAGGCCAAAGCTGGCATGGACTGCCAGAGCTCCTCGCTGGCCACCATCGCCTGAGTTGCCATGCTAGGGAAAGCTGCTGTGCACGCCCAGCGTGGTCGACAAGAACTTGTCTAAGATTCCAGGCCAAGGCTCCTGGTGGGGAGCACTCTCTCGGACCCCTTTATCGCCCTTGCGCGGAGGTCGGCCCGGATGCTCCTTGCCTGCCGGCACAGAGGAAACTATCTAATATGTTTCAATTGGATTCATCAGCTCCTGAGCTAAACAGTTAACGCAGTCAAGACTCGAAGCCAGTGCATGATATCTCGGACCAAATAGAACCACCGTTGGCCGCAAGTGCCGAGCTCATCGGGGTAGCGCAGCATGCGTCGGACCATCTTCTTCGTGAGGCCATCGCGCAGCTCCTTGAAAAGCATCGCGTTGCTTACTAACTCAGAAGCATGAAGACTCGTCACACTGCGTCACTTGAGACACTGCAAGAATCAGCATGTTTGCCCCGCCTTCTGGTCCGGGTGGTTGTGCAAGGTCAGGGCGAGCACTGCCTGCACGCAGCAAACCCTATCTCTGTGCATCGCGACGTGGCCATGAATCAATGATTAATTGAACTGCAGGCAGCCGAGGTGCGACCCAAGCCATTATGTCGGCCTCGGTCTGGTGGAGCACCCACGCCGCCTGGTAGTCCAGCTCCATGAGGCGGCTTCGGACCTTGTCATTCTCCCAAGAACGCTCGACTCGGTCCGGCTTATCCC